GTTTCTAATAGCATATCTGATGCAAGCTACCAGCCACAGCACTTACAACACTGCCTGAAACTACTAAAAAACACTGTTAGGACAACAGACTCCTAAATGACTGACACCACATCCAGTAGAGAACCATGCAGGAAACCCCCACCCCACTCAGTAGGTTTTCATGGGGCCTGGAATTAGCACCATTGTACCAGTACATCAAGCTATTTGACAGGACTCATCAGGACAGGGACAAGACTTTACTAAGGTATCTGCACTGCCCCTGGGAGCTGGTATCTCTGCACAGCGGTGTGCTACTGGGGCAGAGGTGTCAGGATGCTCAGAGCAGTCCAGCATGTAGCTGCATCATGTAGTTTGGCTCAGGTCAAGCAGCAGCACTGGTGCTCCCTTGTTACTGTTCTCATCTCCCCTTCTCAGGATTTACAACTCCTGGAAGCCAACAAGCTTTCTGTCCCCTGTAAAAATCCCTCCCATAAAGTCACAAACTCAAAAGGAAAGGAAAAGATAGCCTACCCAGAGTGGATTTCAGCACTACTATGTCTTTCACACTGGATTCTGTTAGAAAGGAAATATATAAAGGAAGATAAACAAAAGGATAAACTGATAGTATCTGAATGCTAGCATGGCAGGTGATGACTCCCTTCCTTCCTATGTAAATGGCTCACTTACAACTTTGGCATGGGGCATCCTCTAGGTACTTGTCTGTCTGTCTGCTCTCAGGGACCCGTTTCAGTCATGCCTTCCCCACCCCATCTCTCTGGGAAATCTCTCTGGCCTCTGCCCCAAATCCAAGAGCCCCAATTCATGCTTTCCAGCCCACCACAGGCTTTTCTCTGCCTTTTTTCCTTGCTCATTTTCGTATGCGATTCCAGGACCTCTTCCCCTTCCCCGGAAGGCTGGGCATTGCTTCAGGCAGCCATCCCCCTCCCCTGCCAGCCACACCACAGGGCACAGCCCCACTTCCCAGAGCCTTCACCATCTGCTCACCCCTCCCCTGCTCTCCCAGTTTAAATAACCCTCACTGAAAAGCATGGGAGTTACTGAAGGTCAGGAAAGAGGTCTCTTTTGATGACCACTGGTTGATGAGCTACTCAACATTCTTATAGAGTCCATCTCTGGAGAAGGCAGATGCAGAGAAAGATACCAGCAAGGACTACTAATCTGTGCAAAACACAGTCATAGGGTGGACAATGCTTTTAGGAGAGCTGGGCTTTGCTCCAGCCTCCCAGCTGAACTGGGAGCGGCCAGATATCAGGTGCTACTGGGAATAATTGCCAAAATAAAAGGCACCATGAGGTCAGTTGGGTGTGAGAATTGCTGTTGGGGGCTTGCCTAGGTCAGGGCTTTGGTAGCTCCTAAGCAGAGCTTGCAATTCTGTGGGGAGAGCTGAGCAGTTTTGTCATGGCAAAAGCAAGTGTTGTGGAAAAGATGATCCTGCAGGCATAAGGCAGGCTCCTAGAGAAGCTCATGTGCTGTAGGGAAGGATGTATGCTGAGCTGATATTAAGTACTCTTTTATCTGAAGGTAATAAAACTGAGTTCCTGTAAGGAGAAGAAAGTCCTGAAACTCTTTGGGGGAAAGGGGAGGCTAGTGTCCTGGGGTGAGTGTAGCTGTTAGTAAAAATAAAGCATTAGAGAGGTTCCTGCGCCAGTCAGTGGTTTGCAGCTCTGTGTCTTAAGGCGGGCTGCAGCGAGACTTAATGTTTAGAGCTAAGCAGGTCAGCAAATGAGTCTGTTAGAAAGCAATGAAGTGCTAATGACTTGCTATTAGCTAGCTATTTTTTTGCTCCAATTTTACAGAGCAAATGAAGCCAGAGGTTAAGTCACTGGCTTGAGGTCACCCTGGCCCAGCAGTATAAGAGGTTTCTTTTTTTTGTCTTAGTTGCTAGACCGTGCTTCTGACTGGAGACGGAGGCAGAAAGGACTAGGGAAAGCAGAAGGAGCTGGAGAAACTACAACTGTGTGTTAATCCCAAAATAGAAAGAAGTGTGGTCTGCTGAAGTGAATAAAATAGTGAAACAGATGAGAAGGGAATAAGAGGGAAATGGGAACTGCTAAAAGAATGGCACCATCACTTTTATTTGTTTATGAGTTACATTATGAAGTGAGTAAATAAAGAAAAATGCTAGCTGGGCTGACTTGGAAGCATTTAGCATATTATCTTATAATGTCTTTCTTAAGAAAGTTAATTTAAGTTGGCTGAGCATGAGGTCTGGTATGCCGGAAACAAATCGTAAGTAGAAGTAAGTGATTAACAGTAACTGCGGGAGGACATGTCTTCATGAGATGCTAATGCAGCTTCAGAAAAGATAGTAACATGACAGTCTGGATGAGGGAGTGAAAATAATTTTGAGGAAATCAAATTTTCTTTGGGGACACCAAAAAAATGACTCCCAAAACAATTGAAATGTGGAGGGAAAAGTTAAAGAAAATATGGGTGGGATGTATTAAAATAAGGTTCACCTTAGAAAAATGCAAGATAACATGTTTGGGGAAAAAAACTTGGAGATGTAACATTTCATGGGAAGAGGAAACTTGGAAATGAGAGTCCCAAGGGGAGAGAAGAAACACAATGTATTTTAAAACCTATGAGGTTTGGGGCTCTGTAAGAGGGATCAGATCAGGCTGAGAAGTTAACTCTTGCTATAAAGACCAAATACAAATTCCATTGGATGTATTGAATATAGACACATCCCTAGTCCTTTACCTAACACCTATTTCAGAGCAGTTCTGTAGGGGTGGCTTTTTAAACAGGCTGTGATCTTCACTGTGGGCAACAATAAATAATCCTTAAAATCATATGTTAAGAACTGAAGTGGCAACAGTGCTTTGTCTCAGAAGAAGTCTAGCGGTGACTCAGGTACGTTGCCTTTGCTGTTCTCCCAATCAAGTAGCCTGGAATAATCTCCCAAAGGAAAGTAAGAAACCTAATTGCTTGCTATTTTTGAGCTGAGCTGATCAAAGTCATGACCTGTGTAAGATCTTACTCCACAGAAGCCAAAGCTGATGGGAGAGAAAAAGCAAAAAGTTACCTAGCTGGTCATGGTCAGCTGTATCTCCAATAATCTTTAATCCTTCAAAGGAAGGATGCTTTTTTTTATCAAACTTCAGTTCTCCTCTATCAGGAAGAAATACATGTAATTGTATCTCCTGATCCTCACTTTTTCCCTATCCTCTTCAGGTTTCCCCTATCCCCTTCAGGAGTGACTTCTGGCCTTTTCTCCTAACCTCCCTTCAGCACCTTACAAATCTTGGAGCATTTCTGACTGCTCAGGCCACAGCTGAGCAGCTGGTACTTACCCAGCAGAACCAGCGAGTCTGGGTTGACCCTGTACTCCATCTGGTAGGACAGGCTGCCCGAGCTGTTGAAGCTGGTGGAGAGCTCTTGGTGGAGCATTGTGTTTACCCTCTCAGCAGTCACCTCCTTCTGCTGATTCTCAGGGATTTGGAGGGCAAACCAGAAGAAGAAGGTCAGAGCCCCCTCCCTAACAGAGAAATAGCATGTTAAATATCCTCTCTCTTCCTCTCCAGAATCACTGGAGAAGCAAACCCCAGAGATTAAACCCCCCACTGTTTTTCCACAAATCATACAGGTATGTCTGGACTTTCCAGCTCACTGCTGTGACCCAGAAGAACCACTCTGAGTGGGGCAGGAGAGCTGCTATGTCCATGGTGCTAGTTAATGCTCAGTCCTTTTGGGGAAGAAGCCATTTTGTGCCATCTGGCTTTAGTGATGACCAAACATGGACAAATTAATGTGATAATTAATCAAGACCGGTCTAATAAGTAGTCTCATTTCAGGTAGAAATGACCTTTGGTTACTACTGACCAGGGGTTGAAAAGAAACTCTCAAGACTTCATTGTCTCACCTCCCAGTGGTGACAAGTGGATGATTTATGACTCAGTACCTTACCACAAGCCATTAGTGCTGGGCAGGCTCAAGCTGCAGAAAACTGACTGAGAAAGCTCTGTTCAACCATCTGACAGAGAAAATTGGCTGGGGGAGGGGGAAGAGATGTTGAAACAAACCTTTGTTCAGTAAAAGGCTAGAGGAAGAATTTCAAGTGAAACTTTTCTTTGCCCAGTTGAAAATGGAGTTGCACCAAAATTGGAATTTTCCTTAGCTGAAGGACAAATTTAGGGGTGTAGTTTTCCGTGGAAAAAAAAATCAGAAGCAAATGTATACATCAGTTTGGAAGTTATTCCTGCTTTCTTGATCTACTGTGATGACCTGCAAAGCTGTAGCACCACATCTGTCCCATTCCACTGTTACCCTATTCCCAGGTGGACCATGCTTCTTGGCTGGAATGCCTTTTCCATGGTGCATTCTGGCCTCTCCCTTCTGGTGCCTAGAATCAGGCCATAAAATGACTTTCTTGAATTAGAGAAATTAATTTCCAGCTGCTTAGTTTCTACTGAGAATGCCAAGCCCAGATTTTTTTTCAGTTCTTTCCAGTCAATTTTTTTTCCCCTCTTGAACTTTTGCCTCTCTGAAAAATTTCTCAGTTTTGGCTTTTCATCATGACCTCAGATGAACATGAACATCAAAATATCCCCAGCTCTGTCATGCTGGAACAGTTCTGGATCTGGACTGCCCAGCCTAGCCTAGAGCTCATGATGGGGACTGCAGCAGTTTATCATGGCCAGATTTCAGTGAAACCGGAGTACAATTGACTGGAAGCTTTCACACATGAACAAGCAAAAATGCTCTGGGTGCTACTCACCCAAAGGCATACACTGTGCTCGAGTTGTAGTATCGACCCAGCTCTGTGGCATGAATCAGTTCCTTCAGCTGCAATGAGAATGTCATCTGATAACTATTGCGCAGTGTTACAGTGGAAGAGGACCTATGACCAACCCTATATTTCATCCCTCTTGCTGTACAGACCCACCAAGCCTGTCTCTTGGATGGGGGTACCTGACCCGTTTGTCTTTCTACTCACTGAACTGCCTCAGGGCAGTCAGCTCTGGACATGAAATTGCCCTCACCATCTTCTGGAGCTTAGCTGACTCCAGCCAGAAGGCTCTGGACTCCACCTGCCCAAGGTCCGGGGAGTATTGGCGATTGAGGACCTGGAGGCTGCCAGAGTAAAACTGCAGGACGGCCGGTTCCAGGTGCCACGGTCTGTAGTCTGCCAACAGAAGACACTACTGGATTACCTTGCTGATATGTAGGAGAGAGGGGTTTACCCCTATGTATGAGCCTGTAAAGATCACCCAGAGTCACTAACGTGCTCTGGGCTGGGCATTGCTTGACTACACCCCATCCACCTCTTGCATGGGGACAAAACATGTTGAATTTTTACCTAGGAAATACCAGGTTGCTGCAGCAGCTCCAGACAGCAAAAGAAAGGCTACCCCGAGGGGCACATAGCGGAGGCAGTCACGTGAGTTAGTCTCTGATTCGTCCTTTGAGAGGGAGTTGGCATCTTCCTCCTGTTCCTTGGCCTCCATCAGGGGCACCTAGTGACACAGCACACCATGGTCAGGCTGGGTTTTCTGTATCCCTTTACATCTGTCTCTGGAGGTGCTCTGCCATCTCTGTGCTCTTCTCCCAAGATCTGTAGCCCCAAGAGATCTGTGTGCTAACCATCAAAGACTTTGCTCAATGCAAATGTGAGTAAAACTCCTAATTCAGTGGGAGACAGGCTTCCAGGACACTGTCATGTCTACGGCTCCTGGGTAGTCCCTCAATTTTCAAAGGCATTCCCTGGGTTTTGCTTCTGCCAAAACCACAAATGAATACAATAATGAATTTCTCCAGAGGCAAAAGCGTTGTCCTCCCAGGTGGGAATGGTTTTAAAACTGGTATTTTATTGACCTAGAAATCAATGCAAAAGAAAATCTGTGACCTCCAATGCACACAGAAGTTGCACAGAACAGCCCAGCCTGGGAGCCTGAAGCTGCACTTTGCCTGCTGTGCCATTTTGCTCTCGGTCCCTAAAAGTAAGCAAACCTTGCCATTCTGACCAGAACATGTGTCCCAGAGCTAAGCCCATCCTGGCACTGACTCACTAGCTGAGCTAGTGAGGAGAGAGCACCTGAACAATATTCAGCCCTCCACCACCCTCTGCTTGTGCCACAGGACAGCTTCTGGCTTCCTTTGCCTCTCGTCTACCCCAGGCCGCTTCTTTTGCTTCGTCCTGACCAGCAGTCCTTCTGTCAGCCCCAGACCCTGAGGGTAAGAAATGCCGTTGCCCAAGAGAGCCACATTAATCTTGGTTATCTACCTCACCCACCTTCCTTCTCCCTTCCTCTGCCATCACCCAGTGCACAGCTGCCCCCAAAGGCTGTGTTTTTGTGGCTGGAGAGGAAAGGGATGTGAACGCCTCTGTGTGGGAGGGCACAGAGGTCTTGGGGAATGCCTGTGCCGTGTCTACGTGTCTGAGTCATCTTCATGCCCAGTGGTGTGTGTGACCATGCAGGCGTGAATGCACAGGAGGGACTTGTTGCAGATGTGGGAAGAGATGGTTGGCCTCACGCCCATTTTAGCCTGTGTGGATACCCTGGAGTGTTCACGTGATAGGGGCGAGTGGTCTTCTCAGTCTCCTTGCTTTCCCCCAGTTACTGAGCCCTGAGCCCTCCAGGCTGCCTTGCAACACAGAAACGTGCTCGCAGAATGTAAGCACCAGCTAACTCACTCTGAAACATTAAACCCAGCTTGGTGAACGTTGGCACTCGGACAATCAGCCTCACATCTGCTTGCTGTAATGCACCCTTCCAGAGAGGCACGTGGTACAAAGAGGCCCAGCACAGACTGCCCTCCCTTGCTTCTCGTGAGCCACCTTTCTGTGCAACCCCTGGGGAGGATCTCCTCCCCAATGAACCAGGTTGGGTGGTCCAGGAGAGCAAGGGCACTTCTCCACTATCACAGCATCCCTTCAGAAACAGCAGGCACAAGCAAAGAACCGCAGACAGAGGGGCGGGGGGAGGAGGGCAGGAAGCAGCAGCAGAAGAGCCTCTTTGTTAGAAGATTTGATAGTAGGCACCGGGGTTTCCCCCAGAGCTGCAGACCTACCTTTGAAACCTGCTGCCGCCTGTGGGGCCTGGCCCACACCCCCTGCGCAAGCCAGCTCACACACGCATGGAGGGGGGACATCTATTTACCCAAGCTCAAGGTCTCCTCAGCGATCAATAGTCTGATGCCATGTCCCTTCAGCTCGGCCTTTGTCCTGCACCGTCCTGCTGTGATGGGTCAACACACACGTGCAATGGCTTTCTTCTTTTCTGAAATGGAGGGTTTGGAGGCTTGCAAGGGGAGAAGATCTGCAGCCTGAGCAGGGGAAGCCTGGAAGAAGTCAGGGTAGGGGCACCTCCAGCTGTGCAGAGAACAACAACCCAGGAGGCTGGTGCACATAGATAGCTTATGTTGTCCTCCTCGGGGGACAAGAAGTTGCTGAGCAACTGATGTATTTCTTAGCTACTCTCCTTGGTCCCATTGGAGAGAGAGGCAAAATGCAGGGTGTGTTCTCCCCAGCACAGAAATGGAGCAGACGCTGGCTGGCAGGTGTAGATCGCTTGAAGGAGGGAAGATGGCAGTAGGCAGCGGGTCCGGTTGCCACAGTGGTCATGCAGATGAAAGCAAAGCACAGTGTCTCTCAGTCCCCACCTGCAAGACTCCCTCTGGTCTTCTTGTGCTTCTTGCTGCCCAGTCTCCTGATGCTGGCCTCCCCGCACTCCGTTGCACCACAACTCGCTCCTTCCGGCAGCATCTGCTTTTCTTTTAGCCCCAGGTCCTCCTCACCTACCTTGCCTGCACCACCTTCTGCTTACAGCCCCGCAGGTCTGTACATGCCCCTTTGTTTTTCACAAAAAGCAACCACGCTCCAGCTAGAGCAGAGTAAACAGAGTTATTCTGTCAATAAATGGGGGCGGGGCGGATTGACACGGACGACTCTTGACCCGGGGCTGAGCTCCAGCCAGTGGCATTGACCTGGGGCTGAGCTCATTTGGGCCAGGGCTCATTTGGGCTCATTTTGGCAGCTGGGCAGGGATAGCTGTTTTCAGCTCTGCCACTGGTTCAGGTTTAGTCTGGGACTGCATGAAGTCCAAAAGCCATTACTGTAGTTGGCTCGTGGTGGATTTGAGTAGATAAACGTTATATGTGGATGAAAAGCTGCAGCGTTTGACTGCAAATGTGTCAGTGTGGTTATCCCGACTAGCTCATTGCTGTACATATGGGAAACTGAGGCATGCAATGACAATAAGAAATGCTTTCAGAACTGCCTGAGAGATTTAAGAGATCAGATTTCACTTTTAAAAGTTACTTTCAGCCAAAATTTCCCCAGATAACTGGGGTCTAGCTGCATCTTTAGGCATACATATGTATGTATATGACTTTCCCAAGCTTACGCTATGAGGGCTTGCCGCAGTGGGTCAGAACCCAGCTCAGGGTATTTCCTGATGCCAGAGACCTTACTTTTTGTATCCATCTTTCCTGGAAAGAAGCATCTTCCTTCTCTGGTGTTGTCAGCAGAACAAAAAATATAGAATCTCAATCTGATCTATCTAAGCAAGCATACCACATCTATCACCGCAGGCTTTTGAATCAACCAAGGACCCAAAACCTTGATCAGATTTGACTTCAGAGGAATTCCTTTGCTGCAAGTACCCTTTACTTTCCACTTCTCCACAGTAAAAAAAAGGAAGGGGTGTGGGAGGAGGCTGAGAGTGATGTTGCCTATTTATGAACAAGGTATCTTGGAAAGAGGGAGATGAGAGATGTGGCAGCTATCTTTGCTGTCTCCGGGCTTAAGATAAAGAGAGGACTCATGTCTGTGGTTGTTAGCTCAGTATTTTCCACACAATGCTAGTGTTCAGCTTTGGTTTGCCTCTGGTACTGATGGACACCGTTGTAGCATCTTTCTGTGGTTTTGTGAACCACACACCGTGCGTTCACGTCAGCTTGAGAGGGGACCGCTCCCCATGTGACATTTCCAAAGAGGTCTTGGGGACCCAGCAGAGAAAGGGCCCCGTATCACTGAGAGTGGTATGCCTTTGGTATTCACAACCCGGGTTACTCGCATACGAGACCACATGATCTTGCCTTCCTGGAAGAAAAGTCCGGTTATCACCAGATCTGATGTTGAGCACTTCCTGCTGCCGCGTGTCACACATTCACACCCAGTGTGGCTGTGAATGCAGTGCCAACAGCTTGCCAGCTCGAAAGCTGTCAGCATTTTCACAAGAGGGGGAAAAATACCGAGCCAGCAGGATGGTCCTCAGGGGCTTGCAGCAGGATCACTTCCAACTCTGCTTTCTGTTTTAGGTAGCTGAGTCCCTTGGGGAAGGGAGTAGGAAGGAGGGCTAAAGGTGTATTAGTCTGAGCAAAGCTTTGCCTAGTCCCCTATTTAGAAAAGCTGTTAATCCTTTCATCCCACCCCAAAGGACAGAAAAAAAATGTAGATTCCTCAATATTTTTTTATTTACAAAGAGGCAAAGTTTTTCTTTCATACTCATCTTAGCAGCAAGAGTAATTGAGAAGCTTATGAAGATCTACATTGGGACAGGATAGCTATCAGTACAACTAGGATCCTTGGCCCATGTAAGATAGCAAATTGTGCCCCAGGGGCAAGGGATTCAGTGTCTTTTTTTGAAGTCTATCTGGGAAGATTCTCAAAGTACAGCAAACAGCTGGGCAAGCCTTGTGCTTCTTTATCTGGGAAGCTGTGGGGTCTTCTTCACCTGCTGTCTCCTGGAGACAACAGAGCAGTCCATGTCTTGATGCAAGTGGTGAAGAATCTGATGAGAGGTATAGCTCCCCCAGCCTCTCAGCTGCAGGCAGGCTCACCTCCTTTAAGCAGCTCTTTTGAGGTGAAATCCAAGCCAGTGGGTGACCCCATATCTGGGACTCATAATAACATTCAGGCTGCACAATGCAAGGTCAGGTAACAGTGTGGGACCAGGACAAAGGGGAAGCTCGACGCTTGTACAGACAGAGGTAGGGAGGAATTAGTTCTGGGTGATGCTCACAGGGGTGACAGAAGTACCAACAAGTTCAATATCCTTGACCTTTTTGATATAAAAACTCTTAGAAGAAAGATCTCTGGCACAGGGCTGGTATTTTCCCACTGCTGAATAGTCCAGAAATACGGCAAGAAAGCAGACAGACAGTATAATGTTGAATGCAGGGATGGATGTAACCAGAATAGCTTGTCTTCCTTTGCCTTGCCACTTTTCTTCTGCGGTGTGCTGCTTTTTCTCAACCCAGATCAGCAAATGCAGGGGAAAAAGAAAAAAAAGTAGTCTTTGCTATCCCCATTCTTTGTGAGTGGATTGAGGTTTTCTTTTCAGCAAAGGTGCTGATTCGTGGGTTAGTTTTCTGGGCTCATTCACCACATCTTTGCCGCTAATTAGGCAATGGTTTCCCTTGAGCAATGGAAGGAATGGGCAGCACCGTTGCAATGTTTTCCACTAATACAGGATGTGAGATGAACTATTCTGCAATCAGCTTATC